CATCCTATATCCATACCTTTTCAATCTATATGCAGAACAGATCATTCAGGCGGCTGGACTTTATGAGAAGGAATGTGGCATCAAGATTGGAGGAAGACTCATCAACAATCTGTGTTATGCAGATTACACAGCCTAGCTTGCTGAAAGTGAGTAGTAGGACCTGAGGCATTTGCTGCAGAAAGTCAAGGACTGCAGCCTTCACTGTGGGTTGAAGTTCAATATAAAAAAAACAAAGATTCTCACCACGGAGCAAATTGGCAGCATCATGATAGAGAAGAGGTTAGGATTGTTAACAGCTTCAGCTTACTTGACTCCACAATCAATATTCTTCGTACTAGTCGCTAGGAGATAAAAAATGAATAGGATCCAGGTGAAAAGAGTAATGATAGGCAAGGACCAACGGTGATTAATTTTATAAAACATAGTGCATGAGAATGATTGTACAAAACATGTGAATGAAGAATGTGTGAAACACAATGTATACAAACTTTGTAAGTGAAGTTATCATTATTATTAATAATTTTAAAAAGACAAATTGGATTGAGAAAGTCTGCTGTCAGGGACCTCACCAGAGTACTGAGAAGCAAAGATGGTAGGCCATGGTCTTTGCAATTACTTGCTATGCATCAGGGAGCTGAACAATGGCTGTCTATATTCAGAAGAGGTATTGGACTGGAGCTTTCTTGTAGTATGTTAATTTTTAACATCAGGGTAATACTGGCCTTATAGAAAGAGTTGGGCAACATGTATTCCTCTTTTATCTTTTTTTAAGAGATTGTAAAGAATTGAATTAATTTTTTTAAAAAAAGGTTTGGTACAATCCACCAGTGAAACCATCTTGGCCTATTGGTTTTTTTGTTTTGGTTTTGGTTTTGTTTTGTTTTGCTTTTGTGGGTGGCTTGGTTTTTTTCATTGCTAATTCAGTCCCTTTAGTGATTTTTCAGGATCGTTTGTTTAGTGACTATCAGAATTATTTTAATGGCATTGTACTCTACTTTCACAACCACTACTACACACACAACTGCAGTGTTAAGCTTCTGATCTTGTTCCTCTGTGGATATGCTCACAGTCAGTTTGAGATGGTAATAGCTTTGGCAGATCTTTAACAGTCTAGATCCAGTTAATTCCACTGATTTCTGACTCTTTGCTTGTAATATTTTCATAGACTAAACTTATCAAATTCAGTATCCTTTGTAGGGATGATGCCAGGATTATTGTTTGAGCTTTGTCTACCCAAGGCAGGTTATTCTGAGCTTTCTCCTCTCCCCACCTGCATTCACTAGGCGATCTGCAGTTTAACTTAGATTCCCAGTGATAAGTGTCTTTCTAGCTAATCTTCACCACAATCTCGAGTGTCTTTCAAAGAGACTTTAGGCTTACTAATGAAGTCAGTCCCTTTGGGAAGAGATTTGGAATTACCTGTTTTACAGCCTTCTGCTTCTCCCAGGAGAAAGCTCCGAGTCAAGGCTGCTGTTAGGCATTAGGACAGTAGCTTGCTTCTCTTTCAGAGGGACACTTCTAATTTAGGAACTGCACGCTTAGCAGAGGGGAGGTAGTAACCTCAGGAACCATTACTTTCAGAGTCAGGTCAAGGTAATCAAGTCCCAGAATTCTCAGTGGTACTACATCCCAGGTTGAGCCTTCGTCCTGTGGATGCATCTGGGTGGAGAAGAAAATTCTTACCTCTTGAGCACTCTAGCCCATAATAAAAATATAATGTTTCTTCTTTAAGAAACTGGGGTTTTTTGTGCCTTACTGTAACCTGTTTTGTGAAATTTTCCAAGTGTACGGTGAAGAACATATAATTTCTGAAAACAGGGAGATTATACACACACACACACACACACACACACACACACACACACACTCTCTCTCTCTCTCTCTCCCTCTTTCTCATAGAAAGAGAGATATGTAACTTGTCAATATATTGTATGACTTTCCCCTCCCTTTTTTTTAATTGAAATTTTAATGGAAGTTTATAGAGACTTTGGATTTCCATTGTATAACTTTACTTACCTTTTATGCTCTTGAACCTTTTTTTTTCAACTGAGGGTAGTATATTAAAGTCTCCAATACTGATTTGGTTTTTTTTAGCTATTTGATATCATATGTCCTGTAGTTTCTCTTTTCTGTAGGTGGTTGGTTATTTTTCTCTTTTATGTAGTTGTTTATTTGGAAGCTATTCATAACTGTTATACCTTTATTAAATATGACCATTTTCATCATTATCCTGTCTCATTAGAAATAATTTTCCTATTAATTTCCAATTTTGTGCTTTAAAAAATAAAATCTGATAAAAATGAAAAATTTATGTGTCCTACTATTATTTCTTTAAAAAGAAAACAAAATTCTCTGTTTTTATTTTTTTTTCCCAATAGTTACAAAAGATCTATTTGTAGATTCCTTGGAAGGAGAGGACTTTGAGAAGGAATTTTCATTTCTGAACACTTTTGTAAGCCCTGGTTCTTCAAGTACTAGTGAATTTACCCAAGAAAGCCAGACTGCATTTGGGAGCCCCAATACCATTCTCATTTCCCAGGAACCTGCACTGGGTTCTGAGGCTCTTGCTCATTCTTCTGGATTTCTTCCTTCACAACTCTTTGACCTTGGTCTTCATGCTGCTGGACCTGTCAACAGTAAGTATCTATAAAACCTGTGTGCTGTATTTTATCTTCATAAAGCAAAACTATGCTATGTACTTGCAGATGCTAGAATCATAAGATAAATTTTTATTTCAGTACTACTAGATAAAATCTGAAGTCATCATCTTTAACTAGAAAAAGAATGACCATAATAAGCACTGGAGTCCGTGGACAAGAGTGAAACTAGTGCTGCTTTCCTGTCATCTCCACCAAACCCCACATTTCCTTCACTGACTTTCCCTGGTATCTTTCCTTTGTAGAAAATCTATATTCTGGTTGAAATCCTGATCTGCTCTGTTACTTCTATGTTTTGTTGTTGTGTACTGCTGAGTTGGAGCCGACCCTCCAGTGGGTTTTCAGAGGCAGCAAATCACAAGGGAGGAGGCTGCTGTCTTGCTCTAGTAGAGCAGATGGTGGATTCCAATCACTTACCTTTGTGTACAATTCCGTACTTCTGTGTTGGGAAGATATTATTTCTTTCCCTATGGGAGCTATTATGGAAAACAAACAATATTTGATGCATTCTGGTTCCTATAAGTCCAGAGATGATAAAAGGAAACAGCTCTGTAGGCTGGTCTCAGGGCAGCCCTCCATCCAAAGTGGTAAGAGGAGAGGGCTGTGGTAGAAATGTGGGCAAGATGTTTTCCTAAAAAAGTGGTCCACTTTTTGTTAGTATGTTTATGAATCCCTCTGCTTACATGCTGCTCCCCTGTCTGGTAACCAACTCTACTCCTTGGGAGTCATTTCATACTGTTTGCTCCTTACTTCCACATTGGCCATCAAGTCTTAACTATTCTGTCTCCAAAACATGTCTCAGACTTCTTAAAGCTTTGTTTGATTTTCTAGTTTGTTACAAGAGACTTGCCTCCTAACAGGTCTTTGAACCTCAATTCAACCTCCTCACTGCCTCTAGAATGTCTATAAAGCATTTGAGATTATTGGCACCTTTCTCATACGTCTTTAAAATGAAGCATTATAGATCTATAAATCTTGTCTAGCATTTCCTTCCTGATCTCCTGCCTTGCTTAAAAACACCGTTTTCTATAGCTGTTGTGAGGTGCAGTTGAGTGGACTCTGACTCATTGCATCCTTGAGCACCCTCATTTTTCACTCCCATAGACTCACTGTTGCAAGCCACTATGCCAATCCATTTCATTTAGGTCTTCCTTTTCTTCTCTGACCCACTCTTTCTAAGAATGATGTCTTTTGCCAAAGTCTGGCCCCTCCTGATAAAATGTCCAAAGTATAAGAGACAAAGTCTCATCCTCCTTGCCTGTAAGGAGCACCCTGGCTACACTCCTTCCAAGACCAGATATATTTGTTCTTTTGGCAGTTGGTGGTCTATTTAGTACTCTTTGATAACACTAAATTTAAAGATATCAGTTCTTCTTTGGTCTTCCTTATTTGTTGTCCAACTTTCACAAGCATATGAAACTACTAAAAAGACTATGATTTGGATCAGATTAATATGATACATTGGTAAAATAACTATACAGTACACATATGTTGGATTGGTAGTATAAGAATGGTCATTATTATTACTTGATAAAAAGGCCCTTTATATGGAATAGTTCAAGTTATAATGCAGGATAATTTTAATGTAGTAGAATTTTAGGAAATACTTGATATGGCATAACATTTCAATGGCCTGATAATTAAAAAGATTTACAAACAAGGCCATTCTCCAATGTAAGGTCCTAATTCTCTTCCTCCCAAACATGCCACATTTTTCTAGCAGCACTAGTTTCTCTTATTTCCTGATAATACAGTGTCAACAATATATTTGCATTATGTAAAATATTCCCTGGTCTGGTCCCTATCTATATACTGACAGGACATCCATTTTAATAGCTCTATGACTGAAACCAGGAAGTGAGCATTCCTGAGAGTTAAAACATATATTCTAGTAACACAGTTATAGGGCTCAAGCTGTCTCTTCTATTCAGCAGGATAATCTAAGGTCCTTTGAAGAGTTATGTTTTAATTATAGCATAAATGTTCTTTCATGTTATACCATATATTTGTGTATGTTTCTAGAGTATTCATAATGATACTTTTAAATGCCTACAGAGTATTTCTTGTCACATTATACACCATAATCTACTTAACCTCCTTCTTATTGTTTCTGCTTTTTGCTTATTACAGACAATGCTGCAATAAACATTACCCTATACATATTTTTTCTTTAGCTAAATTACTTCCTTAAGATTAATTTCTATGATGAGATTACTGAGTTCAAGAGAATAAGTATTATTCATAGATTTGAAGACCTCCCTTCTCAGGCCTATTATTTTCTCTTTTCCTGATTCTTTAGAACTTATCTTTCTATACCTTTTTTGTTTGAAATTGTTTAAAAATGCATATTTATCTCAGATTCACTTTGAAAAATGTAATGAAGCCTAATCCAAATACAGCAGAGAAAACAATTAAGATTTGTTTGAATAAAATGTAAGATCATAAATTTAAGATGTATACCTTCCCCCCTTTCTTAATTAAGATTTTAATGAAAGTATATAGAGAACTTGGGTTTCCATTCATTCATTATTGCAAATTTTCCTCCCTGCCAAACGTCCCTAGTTGCTTTTCTCTTTGAAAAAAAAAATTCTTTCATTGTTGTACAATCCCCCCAAGTTATATACCTTTTCACTGTAGCATGTTATTATAATAACAACCAAAACCTGGAGAGCCTATTAGGTTATTTTTACCCTTTCTTGTTTGTTTTTTTGTTGTTGTTGTTCCTATGTCCTATGATTAACAATGGATAATGTGGTATTCCACCCTCCAGGCTGGGTGTCTCACGGAGGATCAGAACCTCCTCTTTCACACAGGGATAATGGGTCAGTGCCTTCACAGAGTCCAAAGAAGTTAACAAGATGTAAGTTATTTCTTTTTGTTATTTTCCACCATATTAACAATCTATTTAAATTAGATAAGTTTAAGAAAGGATCTCTTCATAGTATTTGCCTCACATTATCCAGGAAATATTTTATTAGTAATGAACCATTAAAGGGAAAACTCTTTTTAGCAATTGTTCACTGTGAGAAGCAGTGAAAAGAAATTTTTATTTTGTCATGGTACACTAAATTCTGTACTGTAAACGTTCATATTTCGCTCAAGTTTGTTAATAATGGACCATTAGGAATAAACTAGTTGTTATCAAGTCAATTTAGACTCACAGTAACCTCATCTGTAGTCTTTAAGGATAGATGATTTTGTTTTCTTTTGTTTCATTATGATAAAACAATACATATCATTTGTCAAATTAACATTTTTTACATGTACATTTCAACAATATTGATTATCTGTATCATGTTGGGGAACTATTGCCAGTATTTCTTGCCACATTCTCCGTTACAATTAATTGCTATTCAGTGCTTTCTGAATACTATTTCTCCTTCCTGCCTTCCTGCCTTTGCCAACCATCCTTTGGTGTCGATATACATTTGCCCATTTCAGGTATTATATAGGAGGAATGGTAATAACTTGTCCTTCAATAACTGACTTTAATAAAGAGTGTGGTTTGGTTTTTATAGTGCTGTAAAACAATTTTTATTCTAAACTTTAATATATGATGAATAATTCCAAGTAGGATGATGATACTAAACTGAAGCAGTCAGTCTGGAACTGTTGCTTCGGTCATACACATTTCACATGTTTAGTGAATGTTAAATAAATTATTAAATTTTTATTAAAATTATTACAATTGATATTTTACTTAATAGACCAAAAGAATCAGTAAAATAACTCTTTTACATTATATTCAAATAGTGAAGAATTTACCAATTTGAGTTTTGGAATGGGTTCGTGAACACAACCTCTTCTCCCCCAAATACTATCATAGCTGTAGAAACAAGGCAGTTTTTCCTTTCAGTGTTCATGCTGTTGTGACGGTGATTAGTTGCCGTTGAGTTGGCTGAGATCCATGGTGACCCTGTGTGGAGCCACTGCCATGATCATTGGTCTATTTGAATCACGGCCTTTATGTCAGTCCATCTCATTGACATTTTTCCTGGTCCTCCACTTTTTTAAAAGCATCATGCTCAAAAACAACTTAAAGGGGGAAAAAAGCACATCATGCTCTTTTCTAGTGATTGGCCTTACCAAAGTGTCACCATCCTCTCTTCTAAGGAACTTTCTAGATCTATTTTTCAAGCATTGATTTGTTTCATTTATTTTTTTTTAATTTTTTTAAATTTATTTTTATCGTGTGTGTGTGTGTGTGTGTGTGTGTGCACACCCCATTAAATCAGATCTGACTGGTACAGGAGGAGATTGTCCCTCCTTCCCCGGCAGAGCATCTGGTGTGTTTCATTTATTTTTAAGTACTCAATATATTTGATAGTATTTGCCACTATCACAGTTTAAAAGCATCAGTTCTGTCTTCCTTTTTCATTATCCAGCTTTCACAAGTATATAAGATAATTGAAAAACCCTAGGTTGTATCAAGAGCACCTTAGTCCTTAAATTGACAGTGCTTTTAAAAACTGTCAAGAGCTCATTTGCACATTGCCCAGTGAAATAGTGAAATGTGTTATTAGATTTCTTGACTGTTGCTTCAGTGAACTTTGATTGTTGACCAACATCATAAATAAAGAAAGTCAAGTTCACAATATTTTATTCTACTTGAATGAACAATTAATGTGTTTATTTTAGGCTTTTCTTCATCTCTTTGTTCCTCCATTGCTACCACATGCTAGGTATAGTTGAGAACCAATGATGGATTAGCAGTGGTCCCTACATTCAGGCTACATTTTCTTACAGTTTAGGAAGCTAACAGCCAAAGTTCAAGTTACCAGCTCTAGAGAATGGCCTCCCTCCTCTCAGTTGATTGTGGAGGGAAGACCTTGTTTCCTTCTGTATCCATGGTCTTGGCATTCCCTGAGCTTCTCTGGTGTGTATGAGTTTTATTGTGCAGGGACCATTTCTTGATGATACTAAAGTTGTCCCCCTGAACATAATGTTTTTAAAATTTGTCCACACTATAGCACTATCAGGACTTCAACTCTCTTTATGACTGAGTAATATTCCATTGTATGTCTGTACCTTTTGTTTACACATTCTGCTGTTGATGGACATTTAGGCTGCTTCCATCTTTAGGTGATTGTGAATAATGATAAAATGAATATTGGTGTGCATGTGTCTATTAAACCAGTGCTTTCAAGTTCCTTGTAAAAATGGAGGGTCAGAAAAGGAGAGGAGGGCCCTCAACAAGATGGGTAGACCCAGTGACTGCAGCAGAGGGCAGAGTAGAGATTGTGAGGATGGCTCCGGGTGGGACAGGTTTCATTTTGTTGTATATAGGGCCCCTACGAGTCAGAGCTGATGCAACAGCACGTAGTAACAATAGCAGTGGTTAATGATGGCCAGCATCCTTTCATATATTTATATTCCTTTTAACTTCCAGTAAAATGGCTGTTTAGTTCCTTAGTCCACTTTTTCACTTGATTTTTTAAAGTTTTTTTAAAATTTAATTTTATGAATTTTCATGAACATTTACAGAGATTTTGAATTTCCATTCATTCATTGTTGCACTTTTCTCCCTGCCCATCCCTCCCCTCCAGTTCGCTCTTCTCTTTGAAAATAAAAAAGAAAAATTCCTTCATTGGTATACAATCTCCCTGTCCCCCCTCGCCCCCTCCCCGCCTTCAGTACACTTCACTATGCAGCCTTCATTCTGGACTCTTGTGATAACCATAATACCCAATCATATATAGCTTTTAATCGGTTCTTTCCCTCATCTGTTTCAATACAGTATACATAATTTATCCAGTTTTTCTCAGTCTTACCCCAACCCTGATGTCAGTCCCATTCTACAACAGTGGCACTATGCAGTTTTTGTCCTTTTGTGACTGAGATATTTCACTCAGCACAATGTCCTCCAAGGTCACCCATTTTGAATAATATTGCATGAGTTCTTTGTTTTTCAATGCTGTGTAGTATTCCATTGTGTGAATATACCACAGCTTCTCTATCCATTCGTTTGTTGATGGGCACTTAAGTTGCTTCCATCTCCTTGCTATTGTGAACAAAGCCACGATAAACATGGGTGTGCATATATCTGCTTGGATGGCAGTTATGGTCTCTTTGAGGTATATTCCCAGTAGTGGAATTGCTGGGTCAAATGGTATCTCTATTTGCAACGTTTTGAGAAAGTGCCACACCGCTTTCCACAACGATTGCACCATTTTACACTCCCACCAACAGTGAGTAAGGGTTCAGTTTCTCCACAACTTCAGCATTTGTTGCTTGTTGTTCTGCTAAATTTTGCTATTCTTACTGGGGTGAGATGAGATCTCATAGTTGTTTTGATTCACTTGATTTTGTCATTAAATTATAGAAACTCTTCATGTATTCTGAATATTAAACTCATATTACAGATAGTGTATTCTCAGATTTTCTTCCAGTATATAAGTTGGTTGTTCACATTGCCATTAAAATAATTTTTATTTTTATGAAATCTAACTTATCTATTTTGTCAATTGTGCTTTTGATGTTATACCTAAGAATTCATTATTAAAAACTAGATCCCCAGAACAATCCCCCTGTGCTTTCTCCAAGAGTTTGATGTATCAGTTCTTACCTTTAGGTCCTTGATCCATTTTTAATTACATTGCTTTTTGGCCTACTGGCAAGAAACTGTGCTGCAATCCCAAAGGCATGCAATTTGAGGCCACCAGCTGCTTCAGGGGAGAAGGATGGACAGTCTCCTCCCATGTGATTAACTGCCTCTGAAAATCCACTGCAGCTATGAGTTGGTTCTGACTTGATGGGACACAGCAACATACATTATAGTATGTTTTGAAATCAGAAAGTGAGAACTCTTCTTTTATATTCTTTTCTAGAGTAACTTTGAGGGCCCTTTGCAATTCCCTATGAATCTGGAGATTGGTTTTTCTATTCCTATAAAGAAAGCTGTTGGAATTTAAAAAAAATTAAAAACAAAAATTAGTTTTCCTTTGAGTGAAAGCATATAAAGTGATTCTTTTTCCATTGAACACTTCATTTAAAGTTTCTTTTGTGGATTAATTACAGCTCCCAGATTGTAACCTCACTTGCCCCACATCTACCATGTGATTATCATTTCTGTTCATCCTTCTAGTCTAACCCTTCCTGATTTCTGAGCTTTCTCCCGGGGCAAAAGCTGTCCTTTTGATTCTGTATGACTTGATTGTTCTAAGGAGTGGGTAGCTCCCTGATGTCAGGCTCACCTTATAAGCATGTGCAATGTTTGCTTGAAAGCTAAGCCACAGGGATGAGTTTGCTGCTAGGCTCAGAGAGTTCCACCAGTCTCTAAACTAGCATGCTTTATCACTTTTGTGATTTTGAGTTTTAGTACACCTATTACTTCCACTCTGTCTAGGACCCTCTACTATGATTCTTTTGACTAGTCAGCAGTGGTAGCTGGGCACCATCCAGTTCTTCTGGTCCTAGGATAGTGAAGGGGCAGGGAGAGACCAATAGCTGTACTTTAGATGGCTGCTCTAAAGCTTTTAAGGTCCTAGTTGCTACTCACCTAAATAGGCTGTAGAAGATTGTTTTTGTGAATCTTGTTCACCCGGAAGTCCCTGTGGCTACAGTCCTGTGGCCCTAGGATTTAGCAGTTCATCCCCTCATGACGTTTGGTTATGATTAAGAATTTGATGTAACTTTGCCACTTGCTGTGTTGACTCTATGAAATACATGGATATATAAACTTTGATACAGTCAGGAGCATATGCCCCTTTCACCTGTCCTTTTCTGTTCAACTTCTCTGTCTGTGTATCCACGTGCATATATATATATATATATATTTACGGACCATGGGATTATGCATGTAATAAGGTTTACCTCTGGTGTCTTTATCTCTTGTACACCTCTCCATGGTGATACTGTGCT